CAAACACTGGCTAACAGGTGGTCTGCTTCATTTATTTATTTTAGGTTTTAAGTCTGTATGGTTGATGAGGAATCTCTTCTTCCTGAGCTGTTTTTCATCCCCTAAATAGACACGCTCCTGATCAATACCATCAATACATTGTGTTCAGTAAGAAACTGATCAGACAGTTGGAGTGAGAAACCAGGGAAGGAGGAGCAAAGAAAGATGCTATGTGATAAATGGTCGGGTTTCTGATGAAGGACTCAAGGTCAAAGGTCAAAGCCACCTGGAGGTTTGATTTATAGCCTGAGAAATGACCAGAGGGAGAAACACACAGACAGGATGTCCATATTTTATACAGAATATTGTGATATCTTAGTCCGTGAGGCTCTAGTTATGCACTATTGCATATAATCTAACCTTGAGTCTTTGTGGTGGTTCTAAATGTCTAAATAATCATTCTAAGTGGTGGTTTCCAAATCTCTTTTTGGGGTCTCAAGTCTCTGTGGTACTTCTGGGTGCCTTTGTGGTGGTTGTATATCTCTGTGTAGCATTTCTAAATGTTTCATAGTGGTTCTAGCTCTCTATGTGGTGTTATTGACCCATGTGAAGAACTACAAGTTCCTAACTTTATAAAATAAAAACATCAAATCAGTGATCCTCCTTTATAATTATTTTCCAGGTTGAATTATTTCAGACAAATAAACAAAACAAAACAGCCAATTCCTCAAAAGCATATAACCATTTACCTTGCAAGTGGTTATTGGACATTTTGCCTAAATCCCTTAAAGAAAGTTTTAAGATTTAATTCGCATTTTCTGCAAAAACACTTATAAGTGTTTTAAGCAACAACAAAGGTAAAAGAGAGAAAGCTCATTTGATTTCAGTTTTTACTGTCTCTCTGTTCATTTTTAATAGTTAAAAGTGAATTATTGAGCACACGCTTAACTTTTACAAGCAGAACTTCAACTTTAATCATTTTTCACGTTTAAATTATGAACAGACTTCATGTTTTTAGTGTAGATGAGATGAAAAAAAAAAGAGTTTGGAAGTCCAAAAGATGGAAACAGAAACTGTCAGAGATCAGAGGGAGATCGATCTGCTTCACTGTGATCAGAAACTTGTTAGGCAGGTCTTCCCTGAGCTCATCATGGTGTGTGTATGTGTGTTCACCTCCTCATTAAATTAAATTTGCTTAATGACAGAAAGAGACAAGATGCATAAATATTTCAGTATCTTTAATGCAAAGATGAATGTTAATTTATATATATTACATTAAGTTAAAGGGACTCTGCTTAACCTTAGAAAACCCCACAAGTGGCAGATATGTAGCCTAAGTAAGTTAAAGCTAGCTGACCATATGTGTCGATTACTGTAAAGCAAATATTCTGCATCTTACAGCTATACATTTTCACTTTAAAATCAGTGTTTTTTGCATCCATCCTGTAAAATGCTGCCATCTTGTGGCTACAACTGGTTATTGTCTCTTGAAGCAGGCTTAACTCTGCTTGTGTGTCCCATAAACTAATGGTGGAGCTGCATAAGCTGAGAGGGAAGCAGCTTCCTCTGGTTGTATATTGTGGATAAACCTCTGGGCCCGTATCCCTAACGATTCTGAGAATCCTCTCAGAGAGCTCCTAACTTAACCTAAAAATTCCTTGCCAGGAGTTTTAGCTTAGAAGTGATTCCAGAACATTTTCAGTGAACTCTGAGCAAGGAATGGATGGGAAATCCTATCTTAGTGAGGAGGTGTGGTTGACCCCGTTGCTAGGTATGAGTCATCATTTCAAAAGCCGTGATTGGTTGATCCTACAAGTTTGATGGAAATGAGCTTTTGGTGATAATGAGCAAAGGATGTACCCTCAAATCAAGAAACATAATTATACACTCTAATCTTATGCTGACTGTAATTGTAAATAATATTTCACATTCAAGAAAATATCTGGAAAATGAATAGTAAGCTGTAGGGGTTATAGCCTAACATTAGAATCTAAAATATGTGAAAACTTAAACTCATTACACCCTGTTCAAATAATGATTTGTGTCTTATTTGCTCATATTAATATCCTAGCTGGCATATTTTGTACTTTCACTCCCATATGGACCCCATTGAAAACAAGATGGCCTATCTCAAGAGGCTGAAGTAGAAATCACAACGTTGCAAGTCCAGTGTGGTCTTAACGAGGGTAACACGGCTCAGCTTTTAGCAATGTCTGTGATTGCTGGCTGGTATATTTATAAAGGCTTGTTAACAAATATCCTACAAACACAGAAAATGGAGGGAAAAAAAGGACTCGCAAGCCGAACTGGACTGAGGAGCAAGGTTTGTTGCTGGCCCAGTTGGTGAACGAACATAAAGGTATGTTACGAGGAAAATTTGGCCCAACTGTCACTAGCCAAGGCAAGAGGCGCGCCTGGGACACAATATCAGGACAGCCCAGCGGATCAAACACCATTCCCATCCGCAGCACCTGCTCCGTCAGCATCCCTGCAGGAGAGCAGATTGCAACTCACAATTGATGTGTTTGAACAACAAAAAAAAAGTCCTTTCCCTTCAGGAGGAGTACTACCGCCTTAAAATTGAACACCTAAAAAATAAACCATTTACAGATTGTGTTCTGTGTCTTGCATTTAACAATTGCAGGTGATGTGCAGTAAAACTGTGGTAGTTCTTAATACCATCACAAGTTCTCAAAAGACATGGGGCTACAGCTTGCCTGAAATGTAAATTTGTGACGTTTGCCCTGTAAGGCAGTCCACTCTGGGCTAGGTTCCCCTGTGGAATGTAAATATCTTCTTCACCACCATCCTCATCGTTGTCTTCATCCTCATCGCCATCCTCCAGAGGTTCTGCAATCTGTAACCTTGCAAATATTGTGTAATATTGCACAGGCTATGATGACTTTGCTGACTTTTTCAGGCCTCAGCTGCACCTCTCTGTGGAGAACATGAAAGCGCCTCTTAAGCTGGCCTATGCCACGCTCCACCACCGCTCTTGTTGTCTTGTGGGCCCTACAATAGAATACAGAGACCTTTAATTATTTGATGGAAATATTGCACTACTTGGATGCTCTAACATATTGCTTACATTTCATTTCCATGATTTTTGTATTGTTTGGCTTACCTGTTATAGTTTAGTTGGGGCCCTTGGTGTGGCTGGAGGTAAGGTGTAAGGAGCCATGGTTTGCATGGGTAGCCACTGTCCCCTAACAAGTGGCAATTAGCTGGCACATAGCGTCTCTCAAAAAGCTGTCTGATGCCACTCTCGGAGAGCATTCTCGCATCATGTGTGGAGCCTGGCCGTTTAGCCACAATGTCCAAAATCTTACAGGCCGCATTGAAGACTATTTGCACATTGATGCTGTGGAAATGCTCCTGTTAACAAGACAGCCTCGTCTCTGATGGCGCAGTTATTCTCACATGTTTTCCATCAATTACACCCACAACGCAGGGAATCCTGCAATGTCCATAAATGCCTTTATGTGTGTGTAAAGTGCGGCATCCAGCGGAATGAAACAATTGTGTCACATATTAGGTTGTGACAAAGCTGTCAGTGTTTGGGTAATGACTCTGCTGACAGAGGATTGGGACAGACCCAAGTCATCACTGCTGCATTGTTGCATTTTCCCGGTTGCCAAATACCTCAGGGTTGTGATTACTTTCGTCTCTGGTGTAATAGCGTTGTGGCGTCGAGTTGGTGAAGTAATTGCATCTCTAAGGAGATCCACCACAAACATGATTCCTGCACGATCCAATCTGTAGCATCTCAATAATTCCCTGTCATCCAGTGTTTGCAGGACATCTCTCCTGCCTCTTCTGTTGGCCATTTTGTGCAGCTGCTTAGGGGAACTCCTAAGCCACTAAAAGTCCTCTTCCCTGCTCTTAGCAGATCTCGCCTTAGGAGCCCTTTTAAGCGTTAGGAATCTTGAGGAATAGCTTTTATATTAACTGGGATTGTCGTGTCACTTTTAGGGGAAATTCTAAGAAAACGTCACGACTCTGAGAATTTTCTTAGAATTTGGCCGCTAGGAGCCACTTTTTGCACAAAGATTCTTTAGGGATACGGGCCCAGATGCTTAGCTATTACGGTTCATACAAGTCTGAGAGTACTTTTCCACATTTGTAATTCCATCAGGTTTTGATAAAATCCCCAACAACACTGGCTGAAGTGTTGCTCCAAACAATGACTTGCTGCAGGTAGATTTTTTAGGGTTTTTTTGCCATTCCTCTCATCCTTCACTTGTCCAGATTAAGTTTTTGGGTAATAGCTTTTTGAGAATCACCTTAATGGTGCAAAAATACAATTTTATGCTTCTCAAGCTGTTACCATTTGCACAAATTATGTGTTTTACTGACAGGCTGCTAGTAACAAAGTGTCTAAAGGTACAATTGGAAATTGATTATTTGCCAAGTTGTCTGTTAGACACAACATTGGTTTATCCCTCCGGTTGAACAACTTTTTATACTTGAATATGATTCATAGGTCAGTGATAAGTGGCTGGACAAACAACTAAAAACAGACATTTCTCTGAAAATGGTCAAATACAAGGACTCAACTGAAAATGAGTGAAGATGATAGCAATGTCTAAAAGAAAAGCCTCCAGACATTCAGAAAGAGAATTATTGCTGAAGACCACTTTAAAAATTGCTTCTTGAAAGCAAAATATAAAGAAATGAGGCCTACTTCAAGACTTGTACAGTCCTGTATATCTGGTGATTCTGACGGGTTCTGGTGGAAATTTTTGTTAATAATCAAGTTTTTCAAAGGAGCAGATAGAGAGAAATATAAAATATAAAACATAGTAATTTTTAAAGGTGTTTTAATCAGAGGTGTGTGGTAATATGAACAGAAATGCAAGCAAACCTGTAGGCTCCAGTCCCCGACCCTGATAAGTATACGTGAAAGATGGATGACTCCATCATTAAGTCTTTCCCTAATAACATGTCAGGAGCTTTTGGTTAATAAAAGTTGCCATGATCATTTGGAAAGAAAGATCAGAGTGTAGAGAATAAAACAGATGCATCATTTGACCACCACAGTCACATTTTCATCTTTATTGGACATGATGACAACAGTTTTACACAGCAGATTTATAGGATGCACAGTAGAATCAACCTGTTCTGTTACGTCACGTTAAGCTCATACATGCAATACATCACACACTCTTAAACACTCTGTAAACAATAAATACAATCAAACTAAAATGAGTAAGAAACACAGATTTCGTTTAGTGTAGACTGCAAGTAAGAAAGCAGGTGTTCGGCTGTACAAGAAGAAGAAAATATAAGCAGAAAATGGGAGAGTTTCTATATTAAAGTAACAAGACTGCTTCACTTTGTTGTAAACGGCTGGTTAAAGATGAGTTTTACCATCTCCAGTTTGGATATTTCCAGCAAATGTACCTCGTGTGTTTAAAAAAGAAAAATCCCCAGTAGGTTCTAACCATTTTGGTTCACTACCTTCACAGCAGAACCTCTTTTTCTGGCTGGATGACCAGATCTTCCTCACTTGTTATTTACTCCTCAGCTCTTCCTCTCTGCCTCCTTCATTTTTCCTCACCCTTCCTCCCTCGAGAGGCTGCCAAAAACATATTTTTTCAAACTGTTAAGTGTGCTGGAGAAAACGAAAGATTAAGATCTCAAAGCTGTCAGGACCTGGTGGACTGTTTGTGTGTGCGTGTTTTCAAAAAGAAGCCGTCTGACGAAATGCTGGAGGAACTTGTGAAAAGCTTTGACACGCCCGGGTTTACAGGTGTGTATCGGTGTTAGAAGCTTTCTGACTGCACTAATGAAACTGACAGGAGCTGGAGAGAGGAGAATGACGAGGGGAGAAATTAGAAGCAAAGCAAGTTTGAGCATTTTGCAAGAGTCACAAAAATCTAAGCCCAGTACAACTGACAGAAAACACTATAAATATATTTGCATATATTTATATATAGATAGAATTCACTTTCTGAATAAAACTCTGAGTACTAAAACAGTTAAAAAAATTTTTAAAGTAATAATGTGCAAAAATGTGTCATCAACCACAAAGAACAGAGCTCAAAAACCTGATGGTAAAATTTTGCCGTTGGAAATGTCCTTTGTTGCATCTCTAAGCACCCCTAACATCGATGTAATCATGTACCAACACTGTAGAGTTTGTTTATCCCTCTGCAGAATGTGCAACTTCTGCTAGTTTGCTATTGTTAAATTTCATCATCTTCCTCCTAAGAGGTGATGGTTGTACTTGGCTTGGGGCAAACAAGGTAAATCTAGAATGATAGCAGCATTTTAAATATAAATGTATCTCTGCATCATGTATTTTTAGTGTCATAAGACGACTTTTCCATTTTGGCTCTTTTAACTTATGCTAAATAAATTTGGTCCTTCTTGTTAACCAATAGGAAAAGCACATTTTCCAAAATAAGTGATTTGTGGTTTAAAAAAACAAAACAAAAAAAAACTGCTGGCAGAGGCTTGAAAATGGACTGGAAATTGTGAACTGGAAAAGTGGAAATTCGCCACATTAGCCACAATACATACAAAACAGGACAGATGCTCAGATCACTATACAACATGAACAGCCTACATACATTGCACAATGGCTCTGAGGATATGTTGGCTGAATATGGACACATTTATAGTCATAGATATATTTCAAAAGTCAGATGTGAATTGCAAGAAGAGGACGATGACGATTTCACGTGCAACTGCCAAATATACAGTGTTGTCCTCTGCAAAGAAACAATCCAGTGGGAAAAAAGGAGTTTTTTTTTTAACTTTTGTTTTAAATGTATTAACCTCCAGAATTTTTAGCCTTTGAAAAGAGAAACAAAGTCCAGAGAAACTTTGTGGAAGTGATAGGAATGATTTCACTGGAAGAATAAAAAAATAATATGAAGAGGTGGAAATAGAAGTATTTCATTAGATATTTTAGACCAAAAAGTGAATATTTTGCTTTATGAAGGTGCTGAAGGCTGAGGATCAGCCAGCTACGAACCAGTTGACATACAAAACGAGGGGTAAACGTTCATGCGACAAGTGAAATTAACAAACACAAGAAATATGATTTTTTTTTCTTAAAAATGACCAAACATTGGGAGCTAAACTGAGCTTTCCCATTAAAAAAAACCCCCCATTACTGGTAACCACTGATGATGTATCTAACTTAATTTAAATTTAAAGGTGACCAAAATAGCATTAATTTGTCTCCTTTTACATATCTGCCGTAAGAGCAGCTACACCTCCAACCTCCAAAACTTTAATGGGACTTTCAGGACGAGCAGTCTGAAGTGAGAATGTGTGTTTAACAGTGAAAATACACTTGGGTGCAGACACACACACAAACACTTCTGTGTGAAGCCAGAGAGGTTTCAAAAGCTTCCAAGGTGTCACAAAAATACTCACATGTGCACACGCACATTTGTGCAGCTTGAAAGGTGAAATGCATGTACTGGTCTTACAGAGGTCGGAGCGTACCTAAGGCCAGAGGTCAAACTAATTCCTTTCACCATTTTCTACCCCCCAAAATACACATTTTAATCAAAGTTTAATCACCAAAGTAAATACCTCCCATACATAGAAAACATTTATTAATCAAGTGATCCAATTACTGGAACTGAAATATAATTAAAAAAAAAAAATGAAAAAGGAGACTTAAATTAACAGCAAAGGTTTGGAGGGTCTGTGACATCCAGCATCAACGGCAAATAAATAGGAATGGCAAAGTAAATGATTAAAAATACATCAATGCAAATCATGTAAACAAGGCTTCTATCACGGCCTATAAAGATATCACACAGTCACTTTCCTTACAATGATTACTGCAGGAGATAAAATGAGAACATGAATCTGGTCCAAACCTGGGCCTGAGCTGGGCTTTTATCATTCCTTCAGATTTTGACCTCAACTATTAGTTTTGATCATACTTCGAATCTCTTAACTCTAAGACTTGGCCACTAAAATATCATCTGAACTGCAAATACCAAAATTACCACCAAATAAATCCAGAGTGTAGCTTTCTAGAGTCTGCTTCAAAGGAAAAACCTCCTACCAGGCCCAGGTCTGTCAGAAGTAAATACAGCTTGGATTTAGACCATGAAGCGATGCTCCTTGCCATCATGGGCCATCAGGATGACATTGCGGTTGGACGTCCAGATGAGACGGGCAAGCTTCAGGTGGTTCTGGGAGCCTGGGGAGGCCGGCTGGACCGGAGGAACCTGGTACGTCTTGATGCAGCGAAGCTGAGGAGCAGAGTTCAGCATTCCGATGCTGCCCAGCAGACTGGTGTTCATCTGAGGAGGACCAACAACACATGAAGCCACACATTCACCTTATCTATCAATCAAAGCCTTTTAACATTTGCCAGGTGTTCATAGGTGACCAATTTAGGGTTAAGTTTCATTTTTAGCAATGTGCTAAACAAGCAGAGTTTTATAAACTAGAAGCTAGAAGATGCTTTCAATTCAAGTTTCTTGGATAAAGTAAAGTTGGTGGACTAAAACAGGGAGAATCACTATGATACTTGCACTTCCCAAACACTAAACAGGTCACTAGCAACCTGGAGGATTTTAACCAGTTTATTGCTCAGCCAGCCTGGGAGGTTTGAAGTTTGGCTGTATGGATGTTTTTTCAGTATTGGAGCAGGTCAGGTATGTTAAATTAATTTTAGTTCCTGGGGAACATACATACCACCACAAGTTGATCTCAGATGGGCCAAATCAGTAAAACCAATGGGTAGTAAGCTATCTTTGTTTTTAACGTAAGTGCAAATGCAGCTATTGGTGAGATGGAATCATTAATGACTTTTCTGAATAACAACTTTTGCAGTTTGCAAAGCCATCCACAGTAGACTGGATTGGTCCACCTTCATCCATGGGTACTCTTTTAAAAGAGATTTTTGATCTCACAGTTTCATTTCTGGAAAATGAAAACCCACTTTATAACTATTTCTGTGAGCCTTTTTGTCATAGTCTTGGTTTTCTGCGTATTATTCAAGTATCACTTTCTGGTTAAATACAATTTAAAGAACGATTTTATGGAGCAGCAGGTAACTGATAAAACATAAGGCAGGAAGAGCTGGGCTAGCTGGTCAGTATTGCCTGAATTTTCAAAATAAAAGCAAGGGAATGGTGTCATTCTCAGACAGCCATTAATAAACCTGAACGTCCCACTCATGCGCTCATGTGAAGTCTGTGTAGGAAACACTGCCTTCTCTTTCTACTGAGAGCTGATATCTCCTCCCTCATTTTGACAAAAATTAGTTATTGAACATCCGATGATCATCAGTTTCTGCTGAACCCTGTGAAGACGTCTCAGAGGGAAAACCTGGAGTTTAACCCCAGAGTGTGTCTATGTAGGAAATACACAGCGAGTGGAAACCAAGACTACACTGCCTCACACACATACACACACACACACACACACACACACACACACACACACACGCCCCGACAGAGCGTCTGCCAGCTCATTACCACAGCAGCCGTCTTGCCGGCGCGCTTACAGTGGTTTATGCTTACAGTAATGCCATTAACGTGTGTGTGTGTGTGTGTGTGTGTGTGTGTGTGTGTGTGTGTGTGTGTGTGTGTGTGTGTGTGTGTGTGTGTGTGTGTGTGTGTGTGTGTGTGTGTCAGAGGTCGTAAAGACCTTTCACTCAAAATAACGGTTCCTGGAAGAAGATAAGAGGAGCCTGATCGGTTATCTGAGTTTGTTATAGTTTATTCAGATGCTTTATGTGTTAAGACTTTTATTTTCAAGTTAATTTTTTAGTTTGTGTAGATACAGTGGAATTAAAAGTAAACATGTAAATGAAAATATCTAAATTCAGTTTTTTATGTTTTTAACCCACTGTACAGAACAGTCATGACTGAAAGCAGCCAACTGGACAGTATTTTTTAATTTGTTCAAATCCACCACTGGTTTGTCTGAAAAGAAGTGAAATCTGAAGCTGTTTGCATGCTGATAAACTGATAGCTCTTTACACTTGGCAGATTTCATGTAAACTTTAAGATACCTGCAGGGAGGAGTCTAAAGGAGGGCTCAGCATTTATTCCACTGTATATATACTAAAGAAATCCTTAGCTATTGTTTTCCCCCCCAATTTATAATATAAATATTAATTTAGAAATAAGTTATTCTCTTGTCTCATAGAATAAACTTTTTTAAAAGCAAAAAGCTGCACAAAGGGTCAGTCTAATTTCTTGCACTGCATAAACCACATCCTTTCTTTTATCTATTTTATCTAATCTATTTCTTTAGTTTTGTGTAACGTTTTTTTGCTTGAATAAAAAGACAAGGGTGGAAATGTGCAAAAAAGGTTGCCCTTCACATAAAGCTTTAAATCTGCTTTAAATATACTGGAAGTTCATATCAAACCACAAACCCAAGTCCATGTTTATTACATCAGAAACAAACTCACCTTTGTAAATCTGACTCTATACAGTCTTACCACAAAATAGTTAACGACTTCAGAAGGATTGCATTAAGATAGTTTTTATGTGTCTGTATGGGTGAGTCTTACCTGCCAGAAGGAGATATGGCTGTCAGCGCTGGAGTAGGTTGCCAGATAACGGCCATCAGGGGCGAATGATACCGCTGTGATTGGACCTTTGTGACCGTGAATGTTCTACAGAGGAACAATATGGGATAAAACAAACTCATTAAAAACAAATGAAGAATAAAATAAAGTGAATAAAAAACATGCCGTAGATGGAAAACAAAACAGAGCATCAATGCTCGTTTCTCTTTTACTAGTAACTGTTAAATGAAAAACTTATGCAAACTTCATTTAAAACTCCAGGAGTCATAAACTGTGTGTTGATGGTGTCAACATGCAGAAATCAGCCTGTTAAAATATTTACTCTTTAACATTTACCACAAGTACTTTACTCAGAAGACAAATGAGGTGGTCTAATTCAAACTGTGCTATGGAATTAATTTTCCACCAACTGGTTAAACATTTAAAACAAAAATAAATTAGGGGAAAGTGTAAAGTAAATAAACACAAGAAAACGTAAATGTAAATTCAGAAGAAAATAAAATTATTCAATCTTTGTGATGTTTTATGAATTAATATCTAAGAAAAACAAACCACTCAAATCAATTAGACATCCGAATCAACCAATACATCTGGTAACCAACCAAAACAGAAACAGGTAGGCAATCAACTAACCACCCAGGAGGGCAACCAGCCAGGCATACAACCAGCCAACCAGGTGGATAACTAAACTAAGCCAATAATTCTTGAATTCAATAAAACAAATAGGAAGGCAACCAAACCAGGAACCAGGCAATCAAACAGGGAAGCAACGAAACAACCAGTCAACCAGGCAGCCATGCAACCAAACAACAAGGTGGATAACCAGTCAACCAGCTAGCCAGGTGCGTAAGCAACCACCCAAACAAGAAGGCAGGCATGTAGCTAAACAGCCAATCAATTAGGCAGGCAACCTATCAACCAAACAGGTAAAGAAAGACCTCTTTTATTACTTATTTATTAATACGTTTGTGGTTTTGATTCCCCACATTTGTCTGCTTTACACTTTAAATAGCCATCTATAAAAAGCACAGTTCTGACATGTCCAACCCTCTTCTGACGAGAGCTTGTTGCTCTGTTTGTTGCTGTGATGATGGGAAGCCATTTTTATTGAGGGTTTTATAACACTGACAACAGACCAGAACAAAATACCACTTTACAGTATCACTTTACAGTTTTATCAGCCAACAGCACATCACTCACTATCATCACTTAAAGCCGCTAAAATGAGAGCATGCCCCGATTTCCCAGACAGTTCCTCTTTCTGATGGCTGGAGGTTCAGTTCAATAAACTCTGCTCTGTGATGAAGCCTGAATAAAAAACAAATTTTGGCCCTTGTTGAAATTTCATTGAGGCATTTTAGAAAAACTCTGCATCGACAGCACGTGTTCGCTTTGGCAGAGATAATTCCATCAGATGGGTGGCAGCTTCTGGTCCGACAGATGCTGCCATTCGCCTCCAGAACTCTGGGGACAAAATATACCGCTGCGTGTAACACAATAAACTGTCCCACCAGATGCAGGGTGTGTAACGCAATAAAAGAAATCACCCCCCCCCACCCGCTTGCCTTTTCTTGCGACTGGGATTACAAACTCTCACCTCCAGATGAGATTAAGACGCGTCGCCTCAGGCACCCAGACTCTGAAATAATAACCAGTGTGTGGCGATTAAAGCTTAAAAAAAAATAATAACACAATGAAATGAAAATCTCATCTTTCTAATTCGTTCTCTCCCTCCTTTTTTTTCCCCCTTTAAAGGGCAAACCCTATTAGATTCCAGCAGTGTTGTCTGGGAAAAAAGCAGAATTATTTTTATTTCCTTCATCCCTCTCTTCCCCCCATTCAGTGTCTGTCTTCATCTCTACTTTTCCCCTCCATTTTTCTATCTCTTAGGAGAGATCCCAAATCTCATTTCCTGTCACTACTCACCTTAAAGGGAAAATGATCAAAAACAGAGTAAATGCGGTTTGTCTGCAAACAATCATCAGCCCTAAATAAAGGATACTGAAGCCACTGAGAGGGAAATATGACAACTACATCCAGTTGCTCTAAGTCAAAATGCCCACAGTCATGTTAATCCAAAACCAATAAGTAAACTGTCTTCAAAGTGCTTTTCGAGACCAAGAAGAGTCACAACCTGCTTTTACAAAGGTAAATAAACCAAAACAGCCAAATGCCCAGGAAAACACAAAACACAGACACTACCGCAATTGCTTGTCTCAGCAGATTTATTTTAAACTGGGGGTTTAAAATGAATCTGTTCAGACAAGGATGAGGTCAAAGAACAGGACAACCATGGAGTCAAGGTTGTGAAAAGATAGTGGTAAGATGTCCATAGTTTTGGAAGTTTTGGGGTCTGGAAGACCCAATCATCTTTAGTTTTCAGCGGAATCACAAAAAAGCCCCTGTCTGAGAACCTGACCACATGAATGGATTATTTCCATAGTGCAGGTTGGGGCCTCACCCGGTGAGGGCATAAAAGACCGAACCAAGATTTTAAAATGGCATTACAATGTAAAGTGACTTGAGGTGACTGCTGTTGTGATTTGGTGCTATATAAATAAAAATGACATTGATTTGAAATTTTAAAACAACTTATCCAATTCGTGAGATTTAAAAGAGACGTAGTGTCATCAGCATAGAAGTGATACATGATTTTAAAACTGCTGGTAATAGAGCTGTTCGAGATATATATATATATATATATATATATATATATATATATATATATATATATATATATCAGATGATGTGAAAGCATCTATCGTTTCATATTACGCACATTTGTTTCGTGGTGTTGCAAAATAAACTGTTAATGGCAATATTTTCATCATTTTGATGGTCACTGTAGTGATTATATTAATTTCTTAAAGTTCTCTCTTTCTCTTATGTTTAAATAACCACACTACAGATGGACTACCGACTGTTTTTATGCGTTGTCGTTAGCAACAACGACGATAAATCCAGCGTGCGGCTCCACGTCCGCTTGTTTATTTTCCACATAAACCTTTTACTATAAAGCTAAAGATCCTGTTAAGGTTTTTCAAAATAAACTGAAATGATAACAAAATACATTATTCTCAAATATCAAATTTCAGAATATGCATCAAACAAATTACCTCAAATAAAAACATGAACTATAAATGGTGCTTACAGTCACCACGTGGATGCAGGCACAGAGAATACCAGCATGGCCAGTGAAGATGAGTCGAGATGATTGCCTGAGATTTACAGAATGTACAGAAAATGTAAAAGTTTCGTGATATATATTGTTGTCGGGACGATAAATGTCTTATATCGGGATATGAGATTTTGATCATATCGCACAGCCCTAGCTGATAATGTGAGGTAATGGGAGAACACACAATGAAAACAAGAGAAGACAACCTGGGAATGTAGTAGAATGGTAAAATGCTCCAAAATATCTAATTCAGTGATTCAAATTTGCAGATGTAAAGTCTAGCAGACAAATTCTACCCCTCGTGCAGTTTTTTGTTAATTTCTGCTGTAAAGTTGGACATTTCAAAATTAAAGTCTGGAGCTTCAGGTGGGCATTAGAGGAACTGGAGTTTTGGGCTCTTCTCCATCGGCTTCATCAGTCAACTACACAGTCTCCCAGCTCTTGTGCTTAGAAAACAGAACAAATTTAGGTTTAGACACACATGAGAGCTAGTTACTTATATTCAGGTGTTTTTCTTGTTTTGTTTTTTTTAGACAATTTTTGAGTTCCTGACAATAAACAGAGGATTCTGACATTGCTATGTGGGGACAGTTTCATTTGATGTGCAGCTGCCATTTTGTTCAGATGCCCTCTAAAAGTCAGAAATTGAGGAGGTATCTTTGTTTTTCCTCACTGTGGATGCATGAACTAGCTCCTCTGCCTGACATCCTTCCTTCTTGCTCATAGCAGCGATCATCACGCTTTGGTTCACAGTCACTGTTAGTTTTAATCACTTCATTTAAATATTATTTTGTCTTCCTCAGATCCTCATGCAGAGAAGGTGAAATAAAAAATAATGTAGAAAACAAATTGTATAACATGGATTAAACATTGATGCTTCCATATATATTATGATCTGTGTGTGTGTGTGTGTGTGTGTGTGTGTGTGTGTGTGTGTGTGTGTGTGTCTGTGTCACAGTGGACTGCCTACCAAATCAATCAACCTATCAGAGCGCAGTGAAGCACACTGAAACCATTTACAGCACTCTGTACTCCAATACACCTGACGCCTGGGGCTCCGCTCTGTGTGTCTGTGTGTGTATGTGCGCGTGTGCATCACATGGGTGCTTCACCCCATTTTATTATTCCATCTTCTCTGACGAAGACTGACAGCTTGTAAATCCCGCCCCCTTGCTGAACAACTATTACGTTAACCAATAGGAGAGGGTTCTTTGGGGGGTTTTGGACGGGCAGTACCCCGTATGTTATCATCAGATGGGAATTATAATAGTGAGAAGTTGTTATGTGTGGACAAAAAACTCAACACAAAAAAACAACCCAGGACCAAGACAGCTACAGGAATAAAACCAACTTCCTCCTGTCAACAATAAGTACAGCTAGAAAAACAAGGGTGAGTGTGACTGGTGGACTAGAAGCTGTTACTGCTCTCGCTAGTTGACACCAGAAATTAGAATCTTTCAAATTTTTAACTAAACTTGAACATCGTAACAATTTAAAGGTAGAAACAGTACTTTGAATTATAAGAGGAGTGGCTGTTTATTGGCTGTGGGATTAAACTGACATCTAACTGAGGCTTCTACCCAAATCATCGTCCATTTAAAATGCAATATGGTTATCAAAGAACTAGATTAATACTTTCAAATAGCACTTAAATACACAGACACTATTTATATGACCAGAGTACGTCTTCTTACTTTTAGACTCATTTTTCCCCTCATTTATAACTTTAGCATTTAGTTTCCAGGAACATCTGCAGTTAAAAACATATTCCTCATAGAGTGTTTTACACAGCAAATAGCAGCTGAACGTGGTGTAGGTATCACAGTAGCCCAATTACCACCAGAATAGGGACACAGTTTACATTAATTCATCATGTCATGCATTGCGGGAGACGATTCTTCAGGTTAATTTTGGCTACGCTGCCACCTTCAGCTGCAGGTTTCAGCTGTTAGAGAGAAACAGATGCAAAAAGAGGTACGAAATCACTCAGATTGTTTCTTTGTGTTCAATTAGTAGACTGAGTAGAGTCTGTTAAAGAAGCAAGCAGCTGGAGACACACACACACACACACGCTGCTGACAAAGGGCTGTTCACGGAGGCTGATCAAAGCCGTGGCAGATGGTCATGCGGGGACTAGCTAGCTACGGTTGGACACACACACACACCCGCTTGCACACACACACATGCAAAGATTGATTATGAACAAAAACTGCCTCTCATCTCCTTCTACTCTCCGTCTTTGCTTTTCTTCTGGTCCCCATTTTTCGCCTCCTCCACTATTTCAAAGAGGTCGTCTCTCCTTTCTCTCCTCCTTCTCACTTTGTTTTAAATACACTAAAACAAGTCAAACAATTTAGCTCCTCTGAAATTCTTGGAAATCGAGATGTTCCCATTTTTCCAAGGAGATGCCGTTTATTCAGAAGTCTCTAAAGAGATCTGACAACTTTCTGCTGCTGCGTTTAATTTTTAAAATTAAAAAAAAAATAAAAATTTAGCCCCATGGAGGACAAAGCTGGCCCCTATTGTGATGATTATTTTAAGTTGTCATGAACACAAACTGACAGCTGACATTCTTAGAGGTGATGCAACACACCGTTTCCGAATTCCCCTTTTGAGTACACAGCAATTTACTTGTGTAACTTGGAACAGCCCCCCTGCAACCCTGATAAGGATAAGAGGAAGAGAATGGATGGATGGACATTGGCAAGCTGACTATTATGAGTGCATGATTTTCTAAACTGAGTCTGGTGCAACAATCTAAAGTGTAGTTCAGAAAACTTCGGTTTTGTATTATTCTGCAGTCAAAGAGTTGCAACAAAAAAAATTTTTCCTCAGAAGTGAAAGAGGTTTTCTCTGCTCGGTGATGTAAGTGACACGCTGCACTGCAAATTAAATGATTTTTTTCCTCAAAAAAATCATTGTTGTACTTGCATCTGAACAAACCACATGACTTCTGGAACAATGTCCCTTAGACAGACGAAACCAAAGTGGTGATGTTGAAGAAGAGGGGCGATCGTGGCAGTTCGTCTTGTAATCGGAAGGTTGCCAGTTCGAGCCCCGGCTCCAACAGTCTCGGTCGTTGTGTCCTTGGGCAAGACACTTCAGCCGTTGCCTACTGGTGGTGGTCAGAGGGCCCGGTGGCGCCAGTGTCCGGCAGCCTCGCCTCTGTCAGTGCGCCTGACTGGTAGCTTGGCATCGCCAGTGTGTGAATGTGTGTGTGAATGGGTGGATGGCTGAATGTGTAAAGCGCTTTGGGGTCCTTAGGGACTAAGTAAAAGCGCTATACAAATACAGGCCATTTACCATGTTCAAGCATAATGCGCAGCACCACCACGTTTGGAGAAAACCAAACAACGTATCAGCGGTGGTGGTGGTAAATGGACTGGTTCTTATATAGCGCTTTTCTACTCTTCTGAGCACTCAAAGCAATGTGCATTCACACATTCACACCCATTCGCACAAGAACATTTTCTTAGTGCTTTCTAACTAACACGCACATTCATACTCCGATGGATACATCAGAGAGCAATTTGGGGTTAATATCTTGCCCAAGGATATTTAGCATGAAGACTAGGGGAAGCAAGGAATCAAACCACCAACCTTCCGATCAGTAGATGACCTGCTCTACTGCCTGAGCTATAGCCATCCGTGGTGGTGGTGGAGGGGTGCTGATTTGGGCTTGCTTTGCAGCTACAGGACAAGGGTAACCTTATGGTCATTGAGTCATCCATGAACTCCCCACAGACCAAAATATTCTACTTAGGATTGTGCATAAACCAATGCCTGCAAACCTAAATGCACTGAAGCAATGTTGTAAAGATAAGTTGGTCAAAATCCTTCCCCCATGATGTGAGAGACTGAAGTCATAGAGAGAAGGTGGCTTCCCAAGCTACTGAATCATGGGAAGTTCTCAAGTATGTAAATAAAGAGGGTTTACAACAAAGTGCAAACCACTGGTTACACTCAAGAGCTGGTTATTTATAAACGCTAATTCTGGTTTTTAAAAGACTCCTAAATACAGCAAAAGTATTTGTCTGGCCAATTTTTAACCTCATCCATTAGCCTGCACTTAATTTTAACCGTTTTCTTAGTGTTTGCTCACTTTTAGACTCCTCTACTGTTTAATCGACTAATATTAGGTGCCTGGAACATTGCTGCAGCTAGAAGCCTTGCTGTACAGGTTTTAATTACAGCTGTGGGAAGACCATTTAAGAAATAGTGAGCTTTAAACATTCTTCTTTTCTGGCTGAATTAATTACCCATTTCTGTAAGTGTGTTAATAAAGATAATAGCTTTATGTTGCACCTGAAATAAAACACCTGTAATGGTTCCAGCAGAGAGAGACACACTTCCTACAAAGCCATTATCTATTAAAAGTTAATTACTGCAAATAACACACAAAGTGTCTCCTGTCTCACTCTCTCTCACACACACACACACACACACACACACACAATCACACACACAATCACACACACAATCAAACGAGATGTTGGGTGAAAAGGCCCGTGCTGTTATCAGATATAAATGACCCCCTCCACCAGAGTAGACTGCTCAGGTTACTGCAAATCAATACACAGCAAATTATCAACACACACCCGCTCATACAAGAAATACACACAAACATGGAGACCAGCAGCTCACACACACGCGCGAGACACAAACATGATTAAGAGAGTCATTGCTTCATCATTAATCAATTACTGAGGGGTGAAAAAATGAAACTCCTCTCCTCCTTATCTCCTCCTCTCTCATTTAAACCTACTGTTTCTGCTCCTCCTCATTTCCTCCAGTTTGAGCTAAAGCATCCTGTTTGCAAACAGATGGAAACTTTCCAACATAATGAGCAAACAGAGATTAAAGGCATCTATTATGCTTAATTTTCTGTCATATCTGCTGTTTCAGATGGATTAAATATGGCCAAATAATGACATCAGTGCATGCAAAAGCCAAAGACAAAAACTGAACACTCAGTTTACCTGCTCACATGTGTTTTCTAATTATAAAAGGATGAAAACATGATAGTGCTTAAGTTTTGAGATGTCTTAGAGTTTAGTTAATATATCTGAGTTTTGGTTACCTTCTCGCCTTCCCCTGCTTCAAGGACTTTGTATACCAGACATTAACCTTTTGGTTTTCTAATCATTGATGAAATCTCTCTTTGCCTCCTGCACTCTGTACTAAAGACCTATCTGTGGAGACAGCTGGTTTTCCACGTGCAGTCATAATTATGGTTGGAAATCTGTTGAACGCCTTGGGCCGTGAAGGCTACATGCAGGGGTGGATTAATACAAAGTGGGATGGATGGATGGATGGATGGATGAGAGTGGGAAAATGAATGAAAAAGAAGATGATCTGTGTGAAGGAGGCGGTGGAAGAAAGGATGTGTAAAGCTGGGGTCCAGAGTAAAAACCAACTTCATCTGGTGTAATCAAACAGCTGTTGAGCTGATCAGTTTAAGTTTTTCGATGTACCTGACATTTCCCTGTACGGACATCGTAGAGGGCCACTGAACCTTGGCGAGCTCCGACAGCGATGCGGTGACTGCGGTCGCAGTAACCAACCATATAGAACCTAAAAAGGTGGACAGCAAACACACATGAACATTTAACACTGTATAAGGGAAGATGTTTAGCGATGAAGGAAGATTTCATTCATCCATTTTCTTCCTCTTGTCCAATTCTGGGGGCTCACCCCCACCCCCGCCTCAAGGTTAATTTTTATGTAAACAAACAAACGGAAACACTAATAGCACACTGAGACTGACACACCTTAATGTAATGTAAACGGTCACAGACACAGCAGTCAGGGCCCAGCTCGCCTTTCCCAGCCCCTCCCAGTTTGAAGATATTACTTGGGGTTGAACCTGATGACAAACTTACTTGCAAATAGCAGGGAAACATTCCTGCAGTCCTTTCTTCTTCACCAGAGAACCTTCAATACAGTACATGATGATATCCATCACCTAAGGATCAGGAGAACAGTTTTTATTGTAGTTGAAGTTAACCTATGTAGCTTGTTTCCATGTATTAAACACTTTTTATTGCCAGGGTCTGAACAGATCATCTTCTCTGACTCTCCTTTAGTTTGGTTTATAAATCCAACCCTGAGTCATGGGGTTGACTAGCCAGCAGCTTCTGATTCAGTACTTTTAGGTCTTTTCTGTTTTGGATGATGCTAGCTTTCACTGGCGTCATTAATAACAATAGTTGTCTAAGGGTAAAAAGAGCTCCTTTTTTATTTTGGTAAAGTCAAATACTTAATTGAATTATATTATGCTTGTGTCCTTGGCTGGGATTTTTGAGAATGTTATCTTTCATCGATCTCAAATATAGTTCGAATTACTTCAACCAGAAGATCCACGACGTCTCCAGGCATCTTCTCAATCAGGATGTCGATCACTCGCAGGATCTCTGTTTTGGCTCTGGCCAGAGTGGTCGTGTGAATGTTCTGCTGTGACTGAGAGTTCGCCTGAGCAGCGTTGTGCCGATGAACCTGAAAAGATATAACACTTATATTTATAAGAGCTGGAGAGGGAAAACAGTTGGTGAGTACCTAATAAGATGGCTTTGGTTTCAGCAGCTGGTAAAGAAGTCTGAAAACACACCTCTTTTGCAATGGTGGTGATGAAGGCAGGCGGCCGGGCGGTGGCAATAAGAGAGAGGGCGTGACGGGCTGAACGGGCCGAATCTGCTGGAGGGTTGAGGGGCAAACCCATGGTGACACTGTAGAACGAGGGAGTGAAATGTATCATTCAGATGTTTGAAATTACTGTTTATGTTCCTCTTATTCTTCATAGACAATAGATTAGGGGATTTTTGCTGTTGATACTACAACATATCGCAGTACATTGATGCTGAAAAGATCGCTATGGAAGGCAATTTTTTTGCTTGTAAATTGTGACACTTTGAATGAATGTAAAATTGATTTGGTTTCAGTTTTTAAACAGAGCCAAAGTGTGTTTCCCAGCACTGAAAATTGAATCTTCCATCTTTGGTGATTATGAAGTTATGAGGCCTTAAAAAAAAAGCCATAGCACCAAATTTAAACCCAGGACATACTCATTATTGTTTTATGTGGTTTTGCTGGGATTTGTTGACAATAAGAAAACCATGCGAGGCTTATCTCTTAGAGATTTTACAAATCTAAAGGGGACTTAGACATTTCAATCAGCCACTTTAGGCGAGTGGAAGAAAACAAGACAAATCTGAGAAAAGCAACGGCGAGATTGAGTTTTACAAATATATGGAGTGAAGAGATTAGCCAGCAGCTTATAATGTCAAGGCCAAGTCAATGGGAGCCATTCACCAGGCGACAGCATAATGGACTCCCACAATGCAACAGGAATTAGACACACACACACACACACACACACCCCCACCCTCAGAGAGTGTATGTGTATGATTGTAAGAGAAAAAAAAGACTACGAGGGCGAGTGAGGCCACCTTGTTAACAAATGGAGGAGGGAGGGAGGGAGGGAGAGGGAGAGCGAGAGAGCGAGAGACATGGGTGGACGGCTGGGCGAGTTGCACGATTCATCTCCTCTGATTACACATCACAGCCACAGATCTCGTAATTAATACCGGTAATATATCGGCAATATATCAGCAATATTGAAATGTTTAATTTCATTCAGAGAGGTGGCTGTAATTGGAAACAGTCACAGTGTTGATATAAGGCAGCAAAGGGCCAATTGTGCCGAGACCGGCTGAGGTTAATAACCAGCGTTTAGCACATGTAATGAAATAATCTGGGTTACCATTAGAGTCACAGGAGACAGAGAGAGACACACAGAGTCATGAAACAAAACTAAACCCAAGAAAATATTAATAAATAAAATTAAATATTAAAATGGGTCTATTTTAAGAGTGTTTCATCATCCAAACTAGCAGAAATAAAAACAAAAATTCAGCATTAAAGTGGTTGTACTGAAATGGATTAATGAGTCCAGATGGAAAGGATTCCACTGTGATGAACTTTCAGTGCTGACATGAAACACACACTCAGGGCTTACTGTGTGTGTGTGTGAGAGAGAGAGAAGCTGGCAACATGGCTGTATTCACAGCCAATATCACGCTGACATTATCCAGTCGATACCAAGTCACACACACAGAGCGAGGACTGGAAGTATTGATTTTTGTGTGCGAGGGAGGAGTGAATAACTCCAGTCACATGACCAGAATCCACGCTGCAAGAAGCCAGCGCTGTGTGTATATGGCTGAGTGACTTCCAGGGACTCACTGGCTTACTGATTGGCTTTCTCACTGAGTTGCAGATGGGGTAACTGGACTGTTTACAGACTGATTTACTGGATCATTTCTGAATTGTAAGATGTGCCTCTAGTTAATGCACATTTGACCTTTTCTATGTAGACTGATGACCCTACTTTTTACTGGGGTTGGGTGACTGGAGTTTAACTTTCAACTGTCCAGATTTATTAACAACCACCCAGCCATATTCAAAATGATTCCTTTAAATTTTCAGGAGCAACCCTCCTTGCATTGATTCTAAACGTTCTGCAGTTCTTAACAAGTAGGGCTGAACATGTGGAAGTTCTCAGAGTCATTTGGTCTGACCACAGGACTCGCTATAGACAGTACAAAAGATGGATGTAGCCACCAGTGTTTTCATTCTTGCCATCTTGCTGTTTTTAAACCAGGTTCGAGGAGTGATGCGTGGGCTTCAAGCTGATTGGCTAAGCATATCCTGTATAGTGACAGTTACAAAATGAATTTCATATTTTTTATTTAATATCACCTAAAATTGACCGACTGAGCCCATAAATTAGGTAGGAAACATTTTACAGAGGTTTGGGCAGAGAGTAATTTTAACAGATTTGTACAAGACCAGAAGTCTTTTTGTGTCACCCCTTGGCAACAGTTAAAACGAATGCAGATTCAAGACACTATAAGATCCCGGGGTGGTGATTTGTTTACTTTGTTTACCGTAATAACTGAGTAAGTATGCTGCAGGGAATTTGTGTGAATATGTTGATCAGCTCAGGATGTAGAGCAGGTCATCTACTAATCTGCTGGCAGCTCCAGTCTGCATGCCAAATATCCTTGGGCAACATACTAACTCCAAGCTGTTAGACAGAATGCTAGAAAGCATTTACGTAGACAAAACATAGAAAAAAAGTGCTTGTAAGAATGGGTATGTGAACGGTTGAATCAGGCACGTTGTGTAAAGGTAGAGAAGGCAGAGCAAAAAAGCCCTATATAAGAACCAGTCCATTTGCCATGTCCACACTCTGTCTCTTCTGTTCTACAAGGAGTGTTTTAAGTTATGTTTTGGTCATCATTCATAGCTTTTCATAAACATCAAGAAATAAAAAATATTGATAAAATGAATAAATGGCAGCAAACAATTCAATTAAATGGAAAGAACTAAAGTTCAATTTATTAAACCTTTTTTTTTTTTTTTTTTTTAAAAAACACCTTAATCTAAAGGTAACAGTTTTTATAGATTTAAAGATTTTTAGACCAAAAAAAATAAATAAATAAGAGATGGATGCTTAAAAGCTTGGCGGTGTCCTATCTGTGGAGGGTTAGCTGGCGTGTGCTGACCCGTTCACATAAACTCTGACATGGGCTGGTCACGCATCACTGTGTTGGTCTAAATGGACTGACTAACTGGTTTTCTCAGCTGCTTAAAGGCGTGGTTTACTGACCGTAAATGTACCCACAGACTACAGAGAGCATGGTGGAGAGGTGGAGAGTAGGGCAACCTTTTGATGCAGTCTTTACAGCAGACACTGGCTTTTTCAGTGGTTAATTATAATTTTTTCATTTCTTTTTTGACATTTTGGAACAATATTTATGATATTCCTGAGTTTCTGACAGCCTTATCTCAGGTCTGGGTGGAATTTGCACAAACACACCCACAGATCAAAACTGATCAGTAATGGTGACCTGCAGTTTCCAGATTTTTGTTTTTCCCTTTAGGGTTCATGAGTGGACATCCATGGTGACAACAACATGTACTTATCTCTGCATGACACACAGATCGCCAAAGCATTCATTTACCCCTGCATGAGAAACGCAATCGTTCAAAACTTGTAGACAGACAAATACAGTGTAAAAAGATGTATTTATCCCTGCAAGACAAACACATTGAAAACATGCATTTATCCCTGTGGTGGTCTCTGATTGGATGGAGACCGGGAGGAGATTCAAACACCCTCAACGTTTTAGAAAACTTTCTATATAAATGTGATATCTCTGTAGATATGTAGTACGAAAGCGGGCTTAAATTCAGAGTGATCTTATAGATAGTGCAAATGAGAACAGAATTTAAAGATCCAACAATCACTGTGGAAAAAGCTTTAATCAGGATACCCATACAATAGTGCATGGGCCACAAGAATAGATACTGCAGAAAAAGCTTGCAGTCAAATCTTGTTTGTAACAATCCCACACAATTTTAGCATAAAACTATTTGGGGGTATGGAAAGATGCCAAGCTTTCCTCTTTAATGTACATATTGCTGATCATGGTAGAAATCTCAAAGTAAAAGCGGCTTTGACTTAAGGAATAAAAACTACTCAGCCTGTGATTATATGCACACAACCTACTCCATTTCCAGTCAGCCATGCTTCTCTTTGTTTCATTACATTAATTGGTTACCACTGAATTCTTTATGATTTTGTAGGCTAGCTATGACTGACCACCTGGGTAAAACACACTCTCTCTCTGTCTCTCAGAGAGTAGTTACCAAATAAGCACTCATTAGAAAAAAAGATATGCAGAAAACACTGAACCTTAAAGAAGAAGACAACAGCAGAAGACCACACGGAGTGCCCCTCATGCCAGCTAAGAACAGGAAACTGAGGCTACAGTTTGCATAGGCTCGCCAACACAGGACAACAGAAAATTAGAAAAACGTTGACTGGCCTGACAAGTTTCAGTTTCTGCCGCAACATTTGGATGGTCAGGCTTTGGTGTAAACTACAAGAAAGCATTGATCCATCCTGCTTTATTCTGCCTGTGCATTGTCACTCATCCTGTCCACCCCTTTATAACCACACTGTATCCATCTTCTGCTTTCAGCGCAGTGACACAAAGCTGAAATATTCGGGTTTATTGAACATGACAATGAGTTCAATGTGATACTGTCATGTCAACATTTAGCAAAGTCTGTGAGGAATGTTTCCAGCACCTTGCTAAATCATTGTCACAAAGAATTAAAGCAGCAGGGTCCAACCTGGTACTGGGAAGGTGTGCCTAATGAAGTGGTGGCCAGTGAGTCTAAAGGGAATATGGATTATTACGACCCATTAATCATGCAAAGCTACTCTAGTAGCTTCACCACATTCGTTGGATATGAAATTATACGGAATAAGGAATGTGTTAGCGTTTCCTGGAGATGGTGTTTTATACCATGTTGTATGTCTTGTACTTTGTGTCGTATTTTTAATATATTAAGAGTTTGTGTGGCTGCTACCTTGGCCAGGTCTCCCTTGTGAAATAGATTCGACCACAGTGGAACTTTCTGGTTAGATGCACAGAGATAAACACACAGAATAAATACATAAATAAACGAGAGAGAAAAAAATGCCAATTCTATATGGGTCAGGTGGAAGGCGCAGATTGATTTTTCATGAAATGACCCTGAATATTTTCTGTGTATTTTTATCAGTAATTTTTATAGTCTAGTTATCATTATTATTATTACTACACTTTTTATTTAAGTTAAGTAAAATATGTCTTCACACTTAGCTTTAGTTAGTAGTAACTATAATAACTCTGGTAGGGTCAGGACGCACCGATGACCTTCACATAAAAGTAACTCAGGTGTTTATTCAGACAGTAAGCAGACAGGCAGAGCATATAAAGGTGTGCGTCTGCTGAAAGCAGCTTTTACCTCTTAGAATGGATTCCTTGAAAACTGTGTGGAGACTGCTGAAGCAGTTTCTTTCCCTTTCTTTTCTTTTTTTTGGCTTGTGTGTCTGAAAATATAAAGTGCAAGTCTTCCACACCGGGAGCTTTTTCAAATCTCTACCTATTGAAAAGGGATTATCCCACATACACACACAGCTCTGCGAGAAGTGTATTGACAACTGGTTGGGTGGATCAGGGACAAAAAGCCTCACTGCAAGTCAGCTGCATGGAAATACATCCTCAGAGAGAGAGCGGAGAAAGAAAGAGTGAGCGTGTGTGCTCTCTTTTAGCCAGTAATGCATTCAACTCCTTGTTTCTCTGTCCACAGAAAAGAAAATTGCCCAAGTGAAGGAATACTGAATACTGACTGTGTGTGTGTGTGTGTTCGTGCATCCTCTCCGTATGTATTATAATGTACTGATGTGATTACTGTGCGTCTCATTGATCAGCCCTCGTGCTGTTTACTTCAACAACACCAGGAGGCAACACCACACACCTGCAGACTTCACATTATTAATTATGCATGGTCATGAACTCCGTGTGTGTGTGCGCGTGCGTATTTTAAGTTTTAGTATTTACGTAAGCTCACCACTAAGTCGCTGGGGACCCTAAACTAAAGTATCTAAAAAAGAACATTTGATACTGCAACACTTCTCCTATAATGTGACTCCTGAACACACACCACATGATAATAGCTTAATTGAAGCTCTCATTAGTGCTACTGCTTATTTTTGCTATACCTTAGTTTAGTCTCAAATGTGATTCCAGAGGTTGATAGATAATATAGACAAATTTTTGCCTATGTTGAAAAGGTTATCAAAGGATTATTGGGACAGCTGTTACTATAAGGAGACTTGAGATAATCTTTCTCAAACTGAATATTCAAAAATCCTTTAAATTTATTTTCAGTTTCCAGTTTAGTATTTTCTCTGACTGTTACCGTTAACTTTATTTTTCATTTCTTATTAATTTATTTAACATTTCCCTTTTATTAATCTGAATTTATTTACTGGCATATTATACACATCCATATACACATTAGAGGGATTACTTACCCATCAACTGTGTTATTAAATTATGCATTTTGACTGGATATCATCTCCATGTGATGTAATTATATTCGCAGAAACATGTGATTTAAGGTGGAATAAATGTGTAAAACTTGGGGTTCTGTAAAAAAAAAAATATATATATATTTTTTTAAAGACAAGATTATAACAATTATGTCTGCCTGTTTTTTTAAATAAATTTTTTATTGTTGTCTTGTGTTGCATCATATGTTTTAAAGGTTCATGAAGATTGTTATTAAAAGAACAAAAGATAAAACAACATCAGTGAGGTCGTAGCTCACTCAGCCTTGATCTTGATCTTGACCGCACTTTGCGCAAAGAGCTCCTAAAGTGACCAGTGTGTGTCAGTTAAAATCTGACCAATGCTCCAAAAGAAGTAGTAAATATTTAAATTGTGAAGGGATAGACAAGCACTTCACCAGGGCATAAGCTTGTCAGCAATTACTTGAAATATAAAATTACTAAAAATATAAAATGACAGAAGAGGTGAAAAGAGATGCACGTCAAACACAGGAAATTTTCAAAATAAAAGACTGTGCAAGGGGGAAGGGGGTAAAATAAAAATGACGCTTCTGAGACGCTCCTGGTGTGATTGGAAACACTATGAGGATTAAGTTGCTTGGAGTCAATCAAATTTTTGACTGCTATTTTTACACTACTGGCATATTCAACTTTATCTACTGTATCAATGTTTTTCACTGTACTGTAACTTATAACAATAATTTTTTGCATTAATTCTTGTGTGGATCTTATAGGCATCTTCTCTTTCTATTTGACCGAAAATGTATTCCATTAAAATGGAATTGTGTCATTTCCCTTCCTGACACACCACTCTGCAGCTTTCCTTGCTAGAATACTTCACTGACTTCAATTTATTGTGAACAGCCCAACACAAACCCTAACCGGGACCCCAGAAACGATGTTTCGCCTCATTAGGACCTGGTTTGGGTCCCCATGAGGACTAAGGTCAGTGTTTATACTGAGAGAGGTCCCAGGGAGGTAACAAAAATGAACGAACACACGGACACACACACACACACGGACACACACACACACACACACACACACACACACACACACAGGCAGACATATCTATACTCATTTAACCAGACTGGGCCAGCTCGAGTTTCAGACTTAATAGGATCAACTCATATTGGCCAGTTAGATTTCAGCAGGGAGGAAGACGCACACGTGCTGCTCTTTGTATCATACATGAAGAAGAAGCCACTGAATTAGCCTCTCCGCATGACCCCTGACCTTCGCTTGTGTAAGAAGCTGCTTCAAACCACAACCTCACTTTGACTGCATGAAGGCAGCCACGACCTCTGACCTCGACTCTGCTGCCAGTAATGTTGATGGTTGAGTACGTGAAACCAGCTCTGCTGACATCTGTGGTTTTACAAAGTCTTGTAACTCAGCAAGTCGGAGTGTCAGTGTCTTTACCGTTTGCTCATCTTAGTTCTCCAAAAATATTTAAAGGCGTTATCTAAGCTGGGAAATCCACACACTGGCGCTAATATTGTGTACTTTGTTAACATCTGATCTTGTCTCTCACCTGATTAAAGTCTAATGGGTTAATCTTGTCTGGAGCTAGAGACTGCAGGGCAATCTTCTTGCTTTTCTAGATGGAAATTTTTAAGAGCCACTTTAAGTGGGGCACAAAATGCTAAATAAAATGAAGAAAAAGACAAATGTGTGCACAGAGACAGAGGACTTTCGTGTCAGGCCAACGCAGACATCGTTACATCATCATAATGTCTTGAAATCAGATTAGAGTCGGGCTTCCGTAACTCACTGTGTCGGCTATATAATGTTCGTTTGTGTGTGTGTGTGGGGTGTGTGTGTGTGTCTGTATTTGTGCGGATGCATATGTTTGTATCTATAGGATATACTCTGGAATCTGAGAGGGACGGATACAATTTAACAAATTAACAAACAGGAAGTGAGTACAGACAAATTGTCTGTTTTCCAGTCGCTGGAGAGAAAGTAAACAAATGCAGAGCGTTCAATTCCAGATGCAAAATCTTTTTTTTAATAAAAAAAAATTACCAAATTATGTGAAACACCGTCAAATCGGTGTGAATGTGAAAATACTGCGTGTAAAAAAAAGAAACTATTTGTTAGTGAGGGTCCATTTCAACCAGTCTGCCCTTACAGGAGAATCCGTCGGTGAAAACACCAACGACCACTGCAGCCTGCATGAAACAACGACCCCTGATCTTTTAGTAGTGTGTCTTTAAGATGCCTTCATGCCAACACAACAGACCAACACTATGACACTTTAAGGACTCTAGTATACATGCAGTTAGACTCTCATGATGATTTCATGAAGATGAGGCAAAGTGAGCAGGAACCTTAAAACTGTTTACATTATCTGTCAGCATCTTCGGTCTATATGAAACATTTTTTAAAAAGGCAGCAACTTCATTTGTTTAAGCGGCCTCGTCGTGACTCACTTGGCGAGCTGCTTCTCGGCGTCGGCGCACAGCTCCAGAGTCCCATGAGCACCGCCGACATCCATGTACGGTTCCCACACGTGAAGCCTCGACCAATCAGATCGATGGCGGTGCGTCGGATGGTGCGTGGGCAGGCAGCTTGGGGCTGGGGGCTGCAAGCGCAGGAAGGTCAGGGCTTACCTGCAGAGAGAAACGATCAGAGGGTTTTATCAGAAAACAGCAGGAGTTTGAAATCAGCCTGTGAGGGTTCAGCATCAGACAATACTAAAGAATACACACAGTGACCCTCTTATGCTGGAATTTTTGTCATCTTAAGGACATTAATATTATCTTTCATGGTCTCATCAGCTCTGAAAAGCAGCCTCAAGCTGCACCACAGGCGCAATCTTAAACAAAGAAAAGAAAGGAAAGCATTCTCATAAAGACAAAATATGTTCTGATATTTTTGGTGAGGTTTTGGGTGAAAATAGTCCAACACACACACTGACAGACACACACTCGGAGGATAAAGACAGCAAGCGGGATGGAGGTCACTTCATAGCTGACCTGACATTTGAGCCAGTCTCTGTGGGGACAGACTGACCATTAAGACTCCTGAAAAAATCCCCCCCTCCCCTCAATAACGCTCTCCTTCCACCACCCTCTGTGCTCCCCCCTCACATCTGTCTGTCTTTCCCAGCTCGTCTCACCCACCTATCTTTGCAGGCAGAGGTCCAAAGATAACACCAACCAAAAAGAGTTTCATTTGTTTCATCCTCTTTTTTGAGTATCATGCATTTAAGTTCTCATTTTATCTACTGTGAAGCTGAAAATCTGTCTTTTGTCTGTTCTCTTCTGCCGCTGCTGCAGTCACAGAAATCAATACGACCCTTTGTGTGTTTTCACTTGAAATGCAAAAGCTAAATAGGCATAAAATGAAGAAACATACGATATAAAACAGATGATTTACTTTAGTTATAATCCTGTGGTGGCTCTAAAGGTCCACCGGTCTCCAGACGCACTCGGCTAATTGCATCACCAGGATCTCCTGGCATTTCATCATCAGCCTGCCTTAAATGGCAAACCCCCTTCCTTATTGGTTTACATCTACACACACAAAACCTATGGATGGGTCTATGAACGATATGGCAAGAGGTTAACCGTGTAAGAATAGCAGCTATCTACAGACAGTGACAGCATTGGCTAATGTTGTTAGCTGGTATTGTTAAGACAATAGGGTTTATATTGGCTTGTGAGCTCTGCACTTTCAAGGCTCCAATTTTCGCTTCACAACCACATTGGTTTTTTGGAGCCAGAAGTGACAGTCTTTGAACGAGGGAGTGAGATGAAAGTAATAACACACCAGAATATCAAATAAATCATAAAAACCTAAATGATACCTGGAATAACTCATGCGCAGACTCGCAAATGTCAGCTTTACTGTTTACTGGAAAGGAAAGTTCAATTTTATACTTTGAACTGGAACACTCCACTTTGATAATGTTGTTGGTGGTAGCTGTTAATTTAGGACTTGCTTTTTAAGTCCAAATGTTGTCACATTGGATTAAAATTACGGGGGGAAAAACCAAAAAAAAACAAGAGAGAACCTGCTAGCTTTGAACCTTCAAGTTTAAAGACCAATAGGTGACATGG